CGCGCAACTTCCGCTGTCGTAACACTGCCCCTTCCTTAGTATTGTTCGTCCCGAAAAATAGCCACTTACATTAAACCAATAGATAATTAACAATAACTTAATTACACAAAATTAAAATACAACAGTCTCTTCATTTACGGGACGTATCTTCTTCAGTACTGGTCTCCGTCTCGTTGGCTTCTGCTTTACGTGGGTTCATCTGCTCCATCAGGAAATGTCCTATTATCGGTAACAGTCACATCAGTGGTAGTAACTTCATTAACGGCTTTACTGTTTCCCTTCTCAAAATCGGGTAGAGTTTCTTCTTCGACAATGGCTTTTTCAGGTGACACATCTTCAGCAGCGTCATTTGTTCCGCTGTTCACTTCATTCCAACTGAAATGTCCTGGACCGTGATAACACCAAAGCCTGTTGGCATGCACCAACTTTGGCTTACCTCGCCGACCACATTTTATTCGAAAAGTCACGTCTAAGAGACGATCCACTATGTCATATGAGCCTTCCCATGGAGAAGACAACTTAGGAGACTTCCCTTTGGTCTTCCTGGGATTATACAACCACACCTTGTCTCCTGGTACAAAGCTGACTTCAGTAGATCTCTTATCATAACATAGTTTCATGGAATCAGCAGACGTTTTCAAGTTTGAATGCACTTGATGGTGAATATCATCCATCCTTTCAGATAACACTTTCACGAACTCTGACACATTTTTAGGCAACTCTTCGTAAGGTGGGCGTCCTTTTAAGAGATCCACTGGTAACCGAAGTTCCAGACCAAACATCAGCTTTGCTGGAGTGTATCTAGTGGCTTCATGCTCTGCTGTCCTATAGGCCATCAACAGTGGAGGGAGTAAGACATCCCAGTCATCTTGACGGCTATTACAAAACTTTGCCAATTCCTGTCCCAGTGTCCAATTGTACTTTTCTACCATCCCATCAGACTGTGGGTGAAGTGGCGCTGTTCTGGTCTTTCGTATGCCACACAACTTGCAGCATTCATGGAACACAGCTGATTCAAAGTTACGGCCTTGATCCGAATGCAGTTCGTATGGCATACCAAATCTAAAGAAAAAATCACTAATAACCGAAGCTACAGTTGTAGCTTACTGATTTGGTATTGCATATGCCTCAGGCCACTTGGTGAAATAATCCATCTCCACACAAACGAACCTGTTTCCAGCACGAGTTTGGGGCAAAGGACCAACAATGTCAACGGCTACTCTTTCCATTGGTGCGCCAACTT